ATGCTATAAATGCTAGAGAGAGAAAAAATTTTTCTAAAAGTGCTAAATCCACTTAATCATGAGAGGCAATGTCAATTAGAGATCTGCAAATCCCAGCCCGTAACCAGCCGGAGCCGAACGAGTTTCGTGCCGGGTCTATTTTTAAAAAATAATTTCGGGCTGGGTCGGGTCTAATATATTTTTTTTAAATTTCGGGCCAGGCCGGCCTTATTTTTAAATATGATATCAGTACATTTTGTCGAATTAATAAATATATTTTAAAATTCTTGTAAGAAACAAAGCACTAATATTTTTTAGTTGAATATCTTTTTCACAATAAAAAAAATTAAATTTTTCTGTATTTAAATAAATTCTGGTCGGGTCGGGTGGACAAATAATTTTTATTTCGGGTCGGGCTTTTCTGGACAAATAAAAAAATTCGAAATTAGTCTCGATGCAGATCACTTATATGATATCTCATTTAACTATTTTTTTATCCTCCCAAGACACAACTTGTGTAAACGTTAAATTATAATTAATTGGCCTTCAACATAATATTAAATTAGTCCAAAATAATAAACCTATACAAATATTTTCTTTGATCTCTATCGATTCCAAAAAAAATTTCTTTAATATAAAAATTTGGCGATAAAATATTAATGTACTGATATTAATTTAAAACGAGTAACTTTTCTTTTTTTATGAATCTTTATAAAGAAGCAAAATTTTTAATAGCGTCAAATGTGTATTTTTCCTGTAATGTGTTATTTTTTCAACGTTAAATTATGTTTTGAGCGCGTTTTTTTAAATCTAAAAATTGGATATTACCTGAAATATATTCCAGTATGTTTAAAACACCTATCTTATGAATTGTAGATAATTTTGCCGTTAACCTTTGAGTTATTTATAATTTATATAAAAAAATCTATGGAAAAACTAATATAAATTATAAGTTCGTGGCGAAATTGTCTGAAATTTATAGGGTATGTATTCCAAACATGATAGAATACATTTCTGGTAAAATCAAATCTTTAAATTTAAAAAAGACGCTCAAAAAATGATTTAAAGTTGAAAAAATAACACTTTGCTGGAAAAAAGACATTGACGCTAACATATACAATAAAACCTCCCAACTTAAACAGTTGCCTAATTTATCACATTTACTAGTACATAGTATACTTGGAATTTGATTGGGACTCAAAACTTTGGTCAAATTAGAGAGTTGCCAGAATTAGAAAGAGCCAAAATTAGATAAGTTTTACCGTATATTAAAAATTTTACATTTTATATCATTAATTAACATTTTCATCAACGAAAAAGAAATAATAATTTGTATGAACGCCAACGAAAACATTTGATATAAAAATTTATTTTTTTCACCTCTCAAATAGATGATATAAAATATTTTAAAAAAAATAAGGTCATCACAAACATAAATTAAATGTCATACATAGACTACACTATAATATTTATGTATCGTGATATAATATGTAAAATAAAAAAAATCATGACAATATCTTTGTGGGGATGGTGAAAAAGAACCATACTTCACTAATTTGAATGGGCATGTGAAGCAGAATTTTTCTATAAAAAGGGCTTATACCTTTCCTGGGGCACTCTATTAAGTACAATTAAGTGTACTTAAAAAGGCTGTTACTTATTTCTCCAATATTTTAACCGAAATTACCACTATTTATTTTAAAAAATTTAGTAAAACAAAATCATCATAATAAATTATAATTTGTCAGTATTTTAGGGGTTCAATAAAATATTCAATAATATATCTTTTATTCAGTATTTTTATAAACTTTTCAGAAGTATTTTAATTGATTTTTCAGTAAATATATTATTTCTTCATTATTTAAACTAACTTCTATAAATTTAATGTATCGAAATGGCAAAAGAGTTGATACGAAAATATAAAAATTCCAAAATGCCTAATTCTTTCAAAATTTATTAGGGTAGTTTTACAATAATATTAAACGCCACCTTGAGAAGTAAATATTTAAAAGTGTATTTTATAATTCGAATTATTTTTTAATATAAATTACATTAAAAAATTTAAACCATTAGATAAAATGAAATATAATTAATTTTTTACTACTTTATTATCAAATATATCCAATAATGACTTGTTTATAGAATAAGAAAAGAATTTCAAACTTTAATAGAGTGTATAAATAATTATTATCTATAGAATTTACAGTTTAGTCCTAACCTATTAACCTAACCTGCCTTAGGCTGCATTCATAGTGGAGACGGATCCGTTTTTACATCCGTTCCGTCAAAAGTCAAACTCATTAAAAATGATATAAATGTTCATAGACTATAAAAAAATTGTAAGTAACGTTATAACGCTCTATAAGATTTACCGGATCAAAAAGTCAAATTTGCCGGATCCGTTTTTAAGACGGAAGGTATCGGAACGGACGCACTATGAACATATATATCATTTTTAATGAGATTGACTTTTGACGGAACGGATGTAAAAATCGGATCCGTCTCCACTATGAATGCAGCCTTAGCATGGTCCAAGAGCTTTTCAAAAATTTTTCCAATGCCACTATCGTAATCCCTGAGCATCTCTCGGCATAGGAAATTAAGGATAGTTCTTTAGTTACTCATTGATATCTATCACTAATATCATTATTGGTTATAATGTCTCGTAATTTTAGTTTCACTAAACCATTCTTTTTTTTACTGTTAGAAAAAATATATAATTATCAAAAAATATTGCATAAAATATACCCGATTAAAACAGAAATCTAAAAATTCTAAAACGTGGGAAAACATTATAAGCGGTTCAACAATAATTTTTGAATTATTCTCTTTTTTTCTTGGTTTCCATTTTTTCCCTTCATTATCAGCCTCTTCTAATAATGCGCATAATTTCGAATGATGAGAAATACAATGATTTATGGATTTACAATAATAAGATATTGAAAATGTAATTATTCTTTTACTTTCCCATCTTCAATAATTCTAAACGATTCCATCCTAATTCAATTCCTTCCTTATAGATTATACACGTAATAAATGAATTGCATAAAATACGTACGTAATTTAAAAATCAATATTTAATATTATTTATATATAAATGTGAAAAAAAATAATATAAATCATTATTATATTTGACATCTTATGAGTTCGAATAAATATTAGATTTTCAGAGCCGTGAGACTAGGCCAGGGGAATTTATTTAAGCTTTAAAAAATAATAAAAAATGGTATTCGCGAATAAGTGGCTTAATTTGGAGTTATATAAAATAATTAAATGAGGTAATATTAAGCATAAATTATGTATTTTATACTTTTTAAAACAATTTACTTATAATTGCTTAATAAAATTTAAGTTTCTCATTTGCACGGGCGATTCCAAACAAAACATTTTAATAACTGGGGTTGGTTGCTATCTGTGCTTTTCAAGAAATGAGGGATGTAGCAAGAATCACTTAGGCATTAGCATATTTTGATAAACGTACTAAACTAGACTCTGCTTATTCAATTATTTTGGCCCAATCCCAATATATTCTATCTCCCACGAATTTTTAATTAAAAAAGAACATATTTTACACATACTTATAAAGTTAAATAAAAATTACCAATCGCTTGGTGCTCATCCCGCGGGATATTACAATTGCTTCCCTTTAACAAAAGACTTAGGAACATGAGGCTCCATGCCAAACAATTATCTTCAGCTGATCGAATAATTGGTATTCAAATTCTAACACTGGGCATAACCCAAAGATTTTGCAAAAAAAGACAAATTAATAGATTTTTTTAATTTAGCAACGTTTTTCAAGGGGCGGGCAACGCTTAAAACAAATCTCAGCTGGCCATGCAGATGTCCACTCAGTCTTTTAAGTATTGTTTTCTTATTCGGACGTTAGGTGATTTTAAAAAATTCTATTTACAATTTTTTATTAAATTTATAAATGATAAGCTTCGCTTAAGAGTTATCGCTAGTAGAGGTCTGCAAATCCTAGTCGGCTTTGGTTCTTTAAGAATTATGATCAGCGGGCTATGCAGATCTCCAATCGCTAGATCCTGTACTTTAACATAATCACTATGGTACTACCCATCACAGTGACGCCACCACTTAATAGAATTTTCTATTCAGCACTTTGGCGATATTTTTTTTTAAATAGCCTATAAATAATTACATTTTTTTATTAATAATATATTAAATTTTATTATTTAAAAAAAATCAAAATTTATGTTTTTCACAAATAATATAAAATAATAATAAATATATAAGTTTTTTTGCTCGTTTTTTTTACATTTTTTTTTGTAACAAATTAAAAAAAATTGAGATCACAATTCTTTTCAAAAAAAATTCCTCGTTTTTTAATAAAAGATAAAAACTAAAAAAGATTTAAAGTTTTGACGAATACACGAAATGATTAAAAATACGTAATTATTATAATTAAATATAATAAATAATACATAATTAATATCAGTATAAAACATTCTGCGTCAAATAAATAAGGACGCGTTAGAAATATATTATCAAGATGTACGCGTTTAATAATGTAATTTGTAGGGGAAAAAAGTAGTTGGAGCAAAACTTTGTGTGCTAAAATAATTTTTTTATATTTCAAATTATATTTTGTTAATTAGATGTTTTCCCGATAAAGGGGAAGTGTCAAATGAAGAAAAAAAAACTTAAACATTTATAACTTTTGATTTCAATTTAAAAAAAAAAAATGGACCCATTAAACATAAAAAAACTCAAAAAAACACGCGTTTATATTAAAAAAACAAAAATAGAATTTCTTTAAAAAAACTATTAAACATTAAATGCGCTCAAGCACGCTAAGAAAAATAAACATAAGAAAAAAAATTGGGAAAAAGGGGGGCGAGCTAATGACCGAAGAATTTTTTTTGTGAAAACTTAAGTTATTTTAATTCTATTTGACCCAAATTAAAACCATTAAAAAAATGGCGTGTTAAAAAATAGTGAAATAAGTGCTATTTTTAAATATTATTATAGTAACGTACATAATATTACAAAGAATATACGGGTATGTACATAAAATCAAAATGCCTTACATTTTATAAGGCGGAAATTTTAGGCGCTGACAGTAGTATACAATGAAAATATTTAAGAATTAAATAACCATTAATGATCCTAGATGTTAATCAACCGTTATAAAAAAATTTTAATTAATTTAAGAGGGGGATAAAGGTAAATTCCTTTTCATTAATTTTTAAATAAGTTCTCATGATTGGGCTATAAGAGCTGCGGTAGGCATCAACCGTTTAATAGAGTCGTTATAACTGAAAGGGAGCGGATTAGCGGAACCAGGATTGAATCTACCTTGACTGGTAGTGTTGTGCGTAGTCTCTCTACCTTTTCTGGCGTGGTTATAAAATTTGCTCAATGGAGCTGCGTTGATAGAGGACTGAGCTGAGAAATTAATGAGGGCGGGACCCGTTTTGGAGGAAATGGTAGAATTAATGGAGTCGGCGGAGTTAAGGGATCGGTTTGAATAAGGGTTATTCTCAGTCAAAGTTTTGTTAGTGAGATTACCGGAATTTAAATCGGTGTCGGAGCCATAGGAATTGGATGAGCAAGTATCGGATATGTTTCCATTATTGCTATAAGAAGAGGAGGATGAGTTATCGGTATAGGGATTGGTGGTTGAATACCCTGAACTTCCGTCAGAATTATAATGATTGAAATTGGCGTCTGGGTCGTCAAGATTATTATTATATCCTAAATTATAATAATTGTTAGAGGCTAGATTGATATTACCATAGTTATGGTAATCGGTCCTACAGGAATACGCGTTAAAAACATTAAAACCATTCTTGTTGAAAGAAGAATTAATATGATTGTTGTTGTGAGGAGAAGCGGGATAAATCCTTCCCACGCTACCATTCTCGCCGATTCTATAGAAGACACCACCTGGGTCGACCCAAAGTGTTAGTTCATCGGGAAAAGCTATCCTAACACAATCACGGGCTAATCCAGCCATGTCAGCGGCTTTGGCTACAACAGGGTCTAGTAGGCCGTTTATCCTGATGCACCTTGAATTATATATTTTAGAAAATATATATACAATTTTGAATGAGGAGGGTCAAGCCGATTTATATATTTATAACAGACCCATAGAAATTTGGCTTCAGTTTGTTATATTGTACTCCAATTGTGGACGTTAGAATCAAAGCTGTTAAAAAACATTAAGCCCTCTTTTTAAAGTCAGATATAGAAAAACTGAGCGTAATATGTTCCAAAGCAATTAAAAATAATATAGCCATTCTAAAATTAGTGTAATATGGTTTAAAATATTCAATGTTTATATCAGAGACCTGCGAGGTACCATTTGCACAGCCCGACCCAATTTTATATTTTAAGGCCCGACACGGCTTTTTTTAAAATATATTATATTTATTATTAATCTTTAAAGTTAATAATGGCGATTTCAAATATTAGTTTTTTTAATAGGACCCGACCCGGCCCTGATTTTTTTTTAAAAAAAATTTTCAGGCCCGGCTCGGGTATATTTTAAAAAATTAAAATATGGCCCGGCCCAAAATCTGGGATTATCAATTTCCCTAATCTAGATAAATAAGAATAATTAATTTTTTAAAAAGGCTTTATAAAATGATGCGGACATAATGTAACCAATAAACTAATCGAATTAGATATACACTCACTGATTACATAGCAATTTCATTAATATTTCATATATCAAGTGGGCAATTGAACACCTAATAATATTGATTAAAAAAATTTAATGCACCTTTCATAAATATTCTTCCTCATGTAGTAACACAATAGTTTTATTGTATACTGAATTCGAAAAACATTTTATAGATTTTATTGTAATATATCATCAAATTAATTGACCATATGCTACCATAAATTCGAATGTATTATATAATATCTTCAATTTGGTAGTAATTAAAGCTAAACACAAATCTAAGCATTAAAACCATTCATGTTACATAATATTACAATATTATGTATTCTGGTTTTTTATAGCACAAGAATTATATTTGACAATATGTGTTCACTTGCAAGCATCTCATATATATTATATAATAATATTTCACCATATTTGATTTAAAATTATCATTTTATATTTATAAGTAAGGTAAGTTGCAGATAAAACTGCAATCGGAAAGACACCATTGACAAAATAAATATAAATACCAAGCTGATACAAAAATGTTTTACGGGCCGAGCCCCCAAAACCTATTAAAAATTCTGAAGGAATCATAGTTAACAGATAAGGTCAATTTACTTTTGAAATAAATTCAAGTTTTAGTCGTGCGTAATTTACCTATCGCATTTTTCATTTTTCTATTGCTAACTAAATTATTGGATTACTTTGTTTCTAATTTTTTTAGAATTTGTGAGAACATTAACATTAATGTTTATTACACCCAATAATTTTATAAATAAGAAGTAAATCATTATTAGCTCTAAATTTATAAAAAATAAAGAAAGTCGGTTATTTCGACTTTTATATCTAAAATTCTTCTTTAAATCGTGATATGCGAGATCCAATAATCATGGTTCTCATATTTTTATTCCGATGAAATACATAATATGACGAAAACTTTTATTTATATCAACCGTTTTTTACAAGTAGGTGAGATTTTAAAAATCATGTCTCATGCATCAATGGCGTATCAAGAATTTTGTTTCGGGAAAGAAAGGGGGCACATAAAATAAATCACATAATTTATTAATAACATACCATAAGTTAAAATAAGGTATGAAAAAAAAATAAAGAAAAATTCTGCAGCCACTGACATTTATACATAATCAAGCTTAAAGGCCTCATAATTTTTTATGGTTTTAAATATTGTTTAATAATAAGTGTCTTGAGCTTCCATTGTAAAAAAAACTTATAAATTAAATTTTTAGAAAAATAAAACATACCTATAACCAGAACCTTTGAGCGGGGTCTCTGGAAACCAGTGGTTTTTATAATGTCTGGTCAAGGTACTGCGTAGAGAATTGGCGAAATAATGAAGGGAGGAAGGAGAAAGGAGAGGAAATTTGCGAGCTAAAAGATCGGAAAGGAACAAAATCGTACTATCAACCTCTGGAAGCATTAGAATGTTTTTCTAAATTTTGTTGCGATATTTTTGATTATGTAGATGGGTGAGTAGGGTTAATGTGGGTTATGTGTTTGAGGCAGGGATTAATGTGTGGAATCGGGGATATTTAGATCTATAATTTAAAAATAAAAAGGTTTAATTTATAATAAAAGTAAATATATCAGATTATAAAAATTTGGGTTGTGCCTATATTATATATCAGATCGGGGCCGATATTTAGAGTCTAAAAAATATGGATCAGGTCGATACTTTTTTATAAACCGACCCGATATTTTTATTGTTTTGAATTAAAAACCTTTTTTATTATATTTATCTAGAACAAGAAAATGATTTAAACATGTATAATAAATGAGCTCAAGTGTTTACAAACGGCTCGATTTAACCAATTTTTAAAAATGGATAATTTGAGATTTTCTCCAAAAGTAAATTGATTAAGCTTGGAGATTTTGGCTTCCGATGACGACAGAATTGGACATCTATTGGCGAAATTTCGCGTAAATAAAAATATTTTGGCTATAATCTTACAATACTTACATTTAGCCATAAACATTGCCCATATTTTAAATAGGACTATTAACTTTTGGAGAATAAAAAAACAAATATATTTAACATTCGCGAATGGTTGGGTTTTTTGAATAATATTGATTTTTTATGACATTGGTTTAAATATAGATTGGCAATAAAAACAAATATTAGATCGGTTTTATAGTAATATAGGAGCAAATTGGTGAAAAATTTGTAGATCAGCACATCCCTAGTAAAATATAAATTTATTGTATACATGTAACCAGAAGTTTCTGTGGGGAGGGGTGGGGGCAATATTTTTTATAAGCCATTAGAAGCAAATTTGGAGGCCTAGTTTGAGGAGGGAAAAAAATTTAAGTGAAGGGAGCGCTAGCCCACATCTTTTTGGAGATTTATATCCTTACTCTCCTTCATTCTTTCATGGAGGGGAATATAACTCAACGAAAAAATATTTTAAGCACTATAACCGAGTCCGATTGTCCTCGTATATCAAATAAATGGCAGATAGTTTTGAATGGATGAAATCCATATAAGTAAGAATTAAAGTAATTGACTAGCAAATATATTTAGCAAAAATCTTATGGATCAGTAAGTAAGGAATAATAAAAAGAAGATTCAAATCAACCCCCCCCCCTCCTCAATTTAATAAATATTATTTGTGCGTTATATATTTGGTAATTAATTCAAAAAGTTTTGGAGAAAAAAACCTGTAATTCATGCTTATATCTAATTACGTTACTTAAATTTTATTATGGGTCTGACCAGATATTATTTTAATAAAATATAGATCTGGATACCCAATGTCTAGCCGGCTAAAACTCTATAGTTTTCCTAATCTAAATTGTGAGATACTTTAAAATTTTATTTTTAAAAAATGAATTCAATTTTGAGCATCTTAAGCGCAAATATATTTTAAGTAAAAAGAATTAATGTAGGTTTTAAGAGCATAATTTTATGTAATTAAATTGATTTTTTACACAAGTAAAAAATTAAACAACTTTAATAAGTTTAGGTTTTCTATTTTTTTTTATTAATATTAAAGAAATTGTTAAAATGTCTAAAATAGCAACTAATTTATGTGAAATGGAAATTTATAGACAGACACCAAAATTACCTCAGCGATAATTATATGTAATTAAAATTTTTATATTTTCTTTTTTACGGTAAAATGATGTTTGTTTGAAATTATACATACTAATATTAATTACATAAAAAAATTGGGATATTTTTTTTTATTGGTTAATCTAGTTGGGGGCAATTTTTTAAAATAATATTACATCACGTAATCACCTTTTCAATTTCAAAGAATTATTAAAATACATTATATGTTAAAACGATATTTGGTGTTTATGAGATAAGCAAGCTGTTTTTTCAAGGAAATATTAATATAAGATGACGAACGATGATAGATAATGATAGCCATGGTCTAAAAAAATTCTAAATTAATATATAATAGTGAGTCATTTGAGCAGGGCCACAAATAAACCTTTTCATTTAGTATAGGAGCCGTGAAGGAGGCACATTTTTTAAAAAAAATTATATATTTCGATCATATTCTCTCTTATCTATGTTATTAAACGACTCGATTAAAGCCGATTTTCAAAAACAGCGAATTCAATATTTTTTATCCAGAGAAATATTATGCAAGTCTGAAGATTTTGCTCATGGTTTGAGCATCTATTATCGAAATCTGTCTTACGCAATATTTATCTGACTAAAATATTGATTTAGCCATTTTTAAAAATCGGCTCAAATAGAGCCGTTTAACACCACTACTTCTTCGTAGAGATTAAATAGCTAGAACATGAATTAGGATATTAAAATAATTTCTAATAAATACTGAATTTGGGTGCAAACTTATATTATGTAAATGCAAAATTCCATTTTGAATGGCCTTATCCCCCCCCCCTCCGTAGTTATGGTTAAGCATTAGTGAATTATATTGTGAGAGGCTAAGAAGGACAAACAGAAAAATATTTTATGTATACATTCCGATTTTATTAATAATCAATTTTTTATTCCTTCTTACTCTGTTTCATTTACGCTCAATGCATTTCTGTCCTGTTCTACTTTTACTCTCTCTTTCTTGTCTTTTTATATTCTTATTCTAGTTCCCACTTAATTTATATCTTAATATTATTATATGTATCAAAAAAAATGTCGCAAAAAGAAAACAAAATATAAAAAATATAATAATAGATAAATTATCATTCTTTTACTTCTGTTTTGTTGTTCACTGTAAAAATTTTGCAAATCTAATGACAATCGATTGTGATAAAATAAATCGTAATTGCTCGAGAAAGAATAAAATTTTTTGTATTCCTTATTTTTTGTTGCAAAGCAGAATATTATGAAGAAAGGATACAAAATTTTGGTTTAGTATGAAAATAAAATAATTTTAAAATTAAAATAATTTAATTTTTTCAATTATACATTTTAAATTTATTAAAGAAAAAACACGTTATGTTTAATATTATATATATGAAGTTTCTTATATAAAATAAATAATCAACAAGTAATGCCAAAAACAAAATTTATTTAATGATGCAATTCAATTTGTTTTTTATAAAGGTTTTTTTTTATAATCGATTCTTAAAAATTGGCAGAGTTTTAATTTACATATTGATTAACGTAATGAAAAGAAGTGAGTATTGATTAATTAAACAAGATGCGTAATAGGGTTTCGATTCAATAAATTCTACATTTAATTTGTACGGTACGGGAGTTAGCTGCTAAATCTGAAGGAGGGGTTAATCTATTTTATTATATTATGATGACGTCAATTTCTATGAACACTTTTGTTTTGCAATAAAATTTTTATTTATTTTACTGATTAAACATAAATACATTGTTTTCCCTTCTTAAATATTTGACTTGACTATACTATAGTAGTTAGTGATCTGCATTTTCAAGCCCCGGCCCGAACTCGATTTTTTTTAAAAAGTTCTATAGAAATTAATTTTTTTAATTACTCAAAATAAAAGACATATGTTATATGTCGTTTAATTTCAAATAAAATCAAATATTTTTATTTTACTTAAAAAATTCAATATAAAATTGATAAATTTATTTTAAAAAAATTCTAAGGTCCGGCCCGGCCCGAACCCAATTATTTAAATAGAATTAGCGGACCGGACTCGGGCCGGTGCAAATCTCTAATTAGTAGTTGCATTTTATTATTATGACGAATTTTAAATTTATTTATAATTATATATTAATAGGAAGTGAAATCTCTAGGGATGAAAAAAGACTGGAAAATATATTCCCCTATAAAAAAAGGACATTTTAATAGCTAGGCTAGGATTTAATATTCAAAATACAATTTTTTCTGAATTTCACTTGTTATAAGAATATATAAATCAATAATTTTTCCTACACAATCATCTTAGCGTAACTATTAATTTTCCTCTAAAAAATAATGAAATTTTCATAATTACTAAACTATAATATTAAATGTTCAAATCAAATAAAACAAAATAAATTAAATTTTAAAAAAATCCAATAATAAAAGCTGAAAGATATTTTTACCATTTTTGGCTCGACCCGGATTTTTAATTTTTATATTTTAACACAGCCATTTTTTTTAAATTTTTAAGCCCCATATATAGATTTTTTGGTGTTATGGTCCGCCCTGAATTTTTTTTCATGCTAATTCCTATTAATTATTCTTTCTATAACATTTTAAAATAAAAATTTTGTAGAAAGAAAATTTTAAACTTTAAATTATGACATTTTGAACAAAATTGTTTATTTAGTGATGAAATTTAAAATTTATTTGAAAAAACTCCAGACCCGCTCTGGGTAGCATAAACCTGCTTGTTTCTAGACAAATCTCTGATTTTTTATAATTTATTTAAAATGCAAAACCCTCTACGAAGCCCAACGAAATTATAAAAATAAAATCTTGTTTTTTTTACATTTTTGCTAATTATTTTTACAATAATTTTAGAAAACATGTTTTATGTCACAAATATTTTCGCATACATTTTATAAGTTCAAATAAAACATTTAACTCTCTTTTTACTATTTTTATTTCATTTTGACTGAAAATATTTCTTTTGTAAAAGACAGTAATTGTCGGGAATGCTCAATCAATAGAAATATAATACAATGTTTGATTCAAATATTCGAAACAAATTTAGTTTTTTGTTAAAAAAAAAATTGTACATTGAAAATTATACCAAATAATTTATCCATGTGTATAGTTTAATTTTTAAAATTAATGCAAAACTTCATCAAACTTAATTTTGTTTCAAGAATATTTCATTGTGGAATAAGATTATTCCATCAAAAAATCAGTTTTATCAAAACGATGGAATTTGAGGAATTTTTTTAAATAATTTTAATGAAGGGGTTTTGATTTTGATAATTAAAATATTAATTTGTTCAGATTCTAAATCGCATTCACGACTTGATCTTTTTAGATTAATTCCTTAATAAATTGCGGTAAATAATATGGAAAAATATCCACAATTAAAAAATAGGGTTCAAATCCATCTTGATCATTTTCCAGAAGAGCGATAATTTATATTTTATCGCAAAACAAACTTATATAATTATTTATTTTTTTCAGTGTGAAAAGGTGAAAAAGGGAACCGCTAATAATTATGATTGGCACACTTAAATCAACATTTTTTAAAAATAAATTACATCAAATTATTAATCACTTATGTGTTTAGATTTAAAAAAAATATCCATTTGGCTTTAATCTTATTTTCATATCACATCTGAAAATTTTGAACTGCTTAGTTTCAGGAAAAATCCAGTCCCTACTGGAATCCTTAACTACTTTTTTACGGCCTTAGATAATACATTGGCCTTAACTCAATTTCGACCGAATTTAGAATGAAAAACAAACCAAATAAGTATAATAACGATTCTCAAAAAGAGCATTTTAAGAAATGTATTTTTAGAGAGAAATCTAGGACGTAAAAATAAATTAAATTTGTCAATATTGAACAATTTAAATAATATTGCAAAAAATATCTATTTCTTGGAATTCTGTTCTGATTTCAATAAGATTTAAGATATAATGTCATATAGTGATATCCTCCCTTAAAACAGAATAGCATGGGACTAAAAAAAATACCGAGCTATATGGGAAAAATATTATACTGCTATCAATAAAAAAACTTCCAGAGGAAACATTTTCCCTTTTCTTTCTTATTCGCCCGGCAGTTTTCATTATTTAAATATAATAACTTGCGTGTATTTTATACAAGGTAAATATTGAGAAGATATCGTCAAATAAAAAAAAAATTCTTAGGAAAAGCAAGGAAATGCCTAGAAGATGATGCATAATATAAATCATACGTAAAATATAACAGGTGGCTTGTTTATTTTACTTAGCTAGATAGGTAAATTATCGGTGGAAAATTTAAAATATTATATTTTGAGAGCAAAACATGTTTGGCAACCTCGGAGAATTTGATTTAAAAAAAAAATTGTTTTTCAGGGATAAAAATTTGATAATGAAACACGCAAAATAAAAAACAAAAAGGCTATATATAATATGAAAGATTTATTTCAAATAAGTTCAAAAGATTCGATACGATAAGGGGAACATTGAAATTAATAAAGACACGCTTGACTGACTCATTTTATATTTATTTTTTTAAGTCACAGGTTAGCCAAAACATATTAAGGATATCACGTTTATTTTTGAAACAGAGCAGGTGATCATAATTTAGATATTATATCAAATACTAATTTATTATTTTTATATAAAATTATTTAAAAATAGGTACAGGAAAAAACAAGCAAATAGGATAGATGGAAAGAATGAAGGTAAGGTGAAAATCCTTAAAATTAAAATTTTTTTACTATTCACATTTATTTAATTGTGACAAAAAAATATGATAATTAATTATGGATGATATTTGATATTAATTATCATAAAAATTATGAGAAATAAAATTAATTATATATACCTATTATTATTATTTAATTTGAATAGTAATTCATGAAATTATTAAAATATTAAAAACTAAATTTAATTATTTAAAAAAGCACCTTTTGTGATAAAAATTAAGCAATATTTTGTAAAATAATAAGTCATAAAGGAATATAACCTTGATAGATGTAACCAATTGTTGCATTCCAAATTGTTCCTAAATCATTTTATTAATTATGTGGGTTAGCAAGTAGATGAGGGCAACGGGCTAAGATATATGTTAATCAATAATATCAGATGGCCAAGGTTATACATAATTTAATAGTTAAAAAAATAATTACACGTTTTATGTCCCGTGCAAACGGGGGGAGAGGGAGGCAAAAATAGGCTATTTTAGGAGCAATCATTTTGTTCCTTTTTTATTTCATTGACAATGTGGGTTCATCAGAATTAATTAAAATAAGGACTCAGCTACAAGGTTACCATAAATTAAAGGTCTTCATAAGTGGTAATTTTAGAGAAATAGAGCTTTATTAAATTTTTTCCAGAATTGGATCATCGATATTATTTTTTCTCTTAATATGCGAGTGGATAATTTAATCGATAAATTTGTTTTTATAATGAATTGAATTTCTTTATTTTATTAGATTAATAAATACCTGTCAAATATAGATTTGTTATCATTTCGCAGAAGACAAAGAATCAATACTGGTCGGTTCCATTGCCTTCTATCACGGTTGTGGTATCATGCAATAATATCATTAGAATCGCATGGGGGTCGAGTAGTATGAATCAATAGCATAATGACTATATAGAGTACTTCCTTCCCATTTTTTTAAAATGTTTAGAACATAATTTTTATATTAACTACTACCCCCATACCATCCCTAATTATTTTTAAAAATTTAAAAAAATTAAAGATATTCAAGCCTAAATCTTGAAGATTAAATACAATTAAGAGGTTATAGCTATAAAAAAAAACAAGGTCCAATGGGCTAAGGTATATAATTTTGTGTATGATTGTAATTTATTTATTTATTAGAAAATATGTTTTAAAGATATTAAATTCAGGAACATGCACTAGTAGTTTAATTATAGACTGACAGCGTCTTCAACAAAATTGGAAGCAAGTGCTCAGATTTAGCCCTTACTCCTAAAAAATAATTTTTTTGCCAACCCCATTGGAGCCTATTTTTTATCCCCCTGGAAACTCCGATTATATATATAGGTAAATAAAATTTATTCATGCCCAAGGTCATATAGATGCAACCTGTAAAGTGAGAAATATGTTATGATAATTGACAAATATATGTATAAATGGTGCCAACCGTTATCACTATTTAACAGTTTTAATTAAGAAACGATTAGTGCTTTCACAAGTCTGAATACACAGCTATTTTAAATATTTTAAATTTGGCATAACTTTTTATGAGAAGTGCATGTTTCATAGGTTACCCCCTAGGAACTCTTAATGTGATGATCTTAAGAGGGGAT